CCCCCCCTTAACAACCGTCAGGGCTCTTTCTGTAAAAAAAGCCAAGTCAAGACACAGGCCCCTCTTCCCCTCCTGCCCCTGCAAGGGTGGTGCTTCCACGTGCTACATTTCTCCGAGCCCCGTCTCAACGCCCTGGTGCAAAGTGCAGAAACACTACAGGAGTGAAACGTGGTGTATTCAATTTTTCCAACCACCACCAGCAGCATTCCAACATTTCACTTTTTCCAACATTCATTTTTTCCAACAACAGCCAACAGTCAGCAGTTGAGAAAACAAAAAAAAATTGTCAAAAATTAAGAAATGCTCCGTTCAATTGCAGTCTGCATAGTTAGACCTCAGTCCTCCAAGAACGGGGAGTTATTCACAGAAATGCTGCTAGAAACTGCTCTATTGATGCCTTACAAGTTACATCTTGGCACTAAAGCACACTAAGTTCGAGTAAGGTAAGTCTTCTGCAAAACGGCCCCTTGGTTCCTCCGACAGAAAAGTCAGTCTAGGAAATACACAGGACACACCATAAGAAGTTCCAGAGATAGTAGAGATTAGCTATTAAGATTATACTCTCTTCATGGTATATTTTGGAGGAAGTAACTGGAGTAGAAGTACTTTTTTTCCTTCAGTAAAGCAACAGTACAACAATTTTTACAATTTTAGCTTTAGAAAAAACAAAGTTATTACTAGTGCATCATTTTCTTTTCTTTCATGTTACTTACAATCAGCAATTACGATGCTCGATTTTAAGTCCTCATATCATAAAATCCAGCATCTCACTCTTGTCTAAAAGTATTGCAATGCACTTCTTGTTCTTAAAATATGGAAATAACTATACATTCAAAATAAAAGCATTGCAATTATATACATAACAGCATATTCAAACAAATACAAATACAAGACTTCTAATCACTTTATTTAGACACATTTTGTGTTTTCCCATGTCAGTTTTGACAGATGGGTGAAAGAACGTAAGCTGTCCTGCATTCCATTTTCATAATTGTACAGTAAGCCACAGCAGAATACAAGCTGGAGAAAAGTTTAGTCAGCACTTTCCGTTAATTGGTAGTGACAATACTATTTTGATTTGCTTGCGCTATGCTTATGTACACTAACCCCCTCTGGGGGAGGACTGCAAGTTGAATGTAAGTTACTAGTATGAGCGAATAGCAGGCGGGACAGTTGAGCAGTCTTCTTCATTCAAAGTTCTGTCAATCACAGGTCTGTATTTCAAGGTAACCTAAAGAAAGAGAGGACAAAGAACTCTAAGACAAACCAACCTCTTGTATCTACACAAGACAGCCTAGCTAACAGGAATGACTGAATAACATTGATAACTGAATGGCTTCATTGATGTTAACCTAATTTCTCCATTATTCTTTTTCTTCCATAGAAAATGAACCGTTCGTAACCTACAAGGAACATTTAAGTTCCACTAAGTTACCACTGACTGAATTCCTTAAAAGCAAAGCCTGACCAGAAATGGTATCAGAAGACTACTACTTTAAAAAGGCCTTTTGGACAAAAGTAAAGTTTTGGCTAAGATTGCTAGTTCGTAGTTCTTTAAGCTAGGGAAGTCTTGGAGAACCCAATGGATCAGTTAGGAGACACTATCTTTCTGGCCACAGCAGCTATTCAGGAAGTGAAGTGTTCGCACTTGTTCTCAAACTAGATTCAAGGAAGCTGGAACCAGGGGAGAGGAAACGAAGAGGATTCAGAGAATGGCACGCAAAAAACAACACTCCAGATTTTTACAGGGTCAGATTTCAGTTCTGTCTTTGAAATACCATAAAAACTTTATGCTAAACACCAACAATGGGTTTTGCCACCATCAGAGGAAAAGAAAAAAGCTTTTCAACTACACTGATACAAGGGGAAAAACAATTCCAGCTCAAATCACAAAGTCACTTCCCAAAGATTAACAATAACTTCTCCCAGTTATGCCTACTGTTCAACAACAAAATAAATGTTCCTTTTTTTTTTTGGCTTTAAGTTCTCTAAACTATTTCAGGCACCTCAGATGGTGACAATCAACTGCAGTATTATCATGATATCAATAGCTGTCTATGACAGCAGCTGTCTGTTGACAGTGAGAAAGACCCTCAAGCATCTGGCTCAACTTACCTTCCCAGATGGGACATCCACATACGAAAGGGTGTGCTTTCTCCAGTGCTCTTCAAATGGCTTCTGCTGTTGGCCTTGGAGCGGCTTAGAATAGTCAAACTCATCTATCCGAAACTGAGGATAAAATTAGGTTAGTATAGGCCAGAAATTGCATCTGCAAATTACTTTATGATCACATGATTAGTTGCATTCCAATTACAACTGTAAAACAATACGTCTCCTAATAGCCAGCAAGCTTTATCTTAACATTGTCCATGTCAAATTTTAAAGCCCATATTAAGCCTCGGTATTTAAGGTAATGTTCCTTGCATAGAACAATTATTCTGCTTGAAGTCCTGTTTATGCATTCATGACCTTATTATTACTATAGTCCTGCTTTAGACCTCCCTAATCATTTGGATGCACACATGGAACTACTCTTCTCTCAAGATCATTACCCAATGTTGCATGTATTGGTCATTTTATATATAACAAATAAGAACAGATAAAAGAGAGCAGATGGGATCCCAAACAAATACTACACTAATCTTAAGTCAAGACTCTGAAGAAATTACAACTTTCAAATAATCCATCTGAGGACACATAACAAGGAAATTCAATCCTACATCCAGGTCACAGAAAATATTTATACCTTATAGTCCTCTCTGGCATGAGCACCCCGAGACTCTTTGCGAGCCTCAGCACCATAAATGGTTTGTAAAGCACAAAGCATCAGGTTTTGCAGTTCGAGGGTCTCCACCAAGTCAGTGTTCCACACAATACCTAGTAAAATATTAAAATACTATGAAAGATGTTCTACAAATAAGTTATTCCTCAATTTACTTCTGTCCTACTGCTGATACTTAGAATCGAACTAGCCAATGCTCTACCCACTGCAGTCACAGTACCCTGCAATACTGAATTACTCACTATTGCCTGCAAGGCTCAGCAACGATTCCTACACCCTAACAATCGTAATGAATCTTAGAAAAATTCAGTAGTTCTACCAGGTGTACCTGTTGCATGTGTACTACTGAGACAAAACTACACCATAGATTCTTGCCTGCTTTGTATCGTACCTACGACTCAGTCCCCATACCTCATTTCGGATCACAAGATCTAGCTAGATGGTAGATCCCTAGCAGAACCAGACAACAGGGCTCTCCCTTCCTTCCCACCCTCAGCGGAAAAAAAAACCTGCTTGCCAGTTATACGAGGTTCTTCTTCATTTAAGTATCTCCAAGGTGGACCCAAGTTCACTTACGTGAATGTATCTTCATTTTGATCCCTATGTTCTAAGCTATTGTAACACTTTTCTTGATGCTTGGTGAGAGCTGTCCAAGAAAGCCAATTCTACTTTCAGTGTTAGGATACATGTCCAACAGCAGTAGTTAGAAATACACAACATAAGTGGATAAAAGGTACATCATCAGCTGTACTTAATTAACCAAGTTCTCCTAAGATACACTGCAAGACATGGCAGTATCTATATGCAGCGCTATCTGCTCAGCTGGAGAAGGAAAACTGCGTGTTCAGCCTATGAATAGCCTTGCCACCTTTTTGCAACTCCCTGGCCTTTTCAGAAGATACTAAAGAGTTCATCTTAGTATTTGAACAACTTCGCATCATGTTTTGAGAGAACAGCGGTTAGTACCTCATACAGTTAAATCTGATTTCAGTCTCTGCTTCTTTGAAAGAGTATGCAACCAGAAAATGACCAGTAAGATCAAGTACTTTACCGATTACCACCTTTAGCAAGTAGGGCTCTACAAAATATTTCAAAAGATTCAAAATGGTCCAAGTCTTTAGCCAAAGTTTCAAGAAACACATAAGAAGGTTTACCGAAGGAAAAAGAAAAAACCACACTTTTCCTAGAGAGTACTCTGGCAAAGGTATATTCTTTGCTATCAAATTACCTCTGTCAAATGTCTTTAGATGAGCCAGATCACTATAAATTTGGCTAAGTTTTTCACAGCCTTCTTGAAGTACAGAACCAGTACGAAATACAGCAGCATGGTTTTGCATTGTCTGCAAGACAGTAAAACAAAATCAGTTTCATATGCTGCATATGCATAATATCCCACATAACTTCATTAGTTCCAACAGAGCTTGATATAGAGCTGCTTTGTCTTCAGACATGTCTGCAGCCTGAAGAAAAAGAAAAAACATTCTTCTGTTCACCCCAAACAGAGGAAACCCCACTCTATTATATAGTAGGTAAACTACCCAAGAGGAAAACCATGAAGGGAAGAAGAAACTAACAAAACTGATACCGCCTTTACCACACACAATCTTCTCACACCGCTTTTTACTTCTGAAAAGCAAATTCTGAAGCATACTTCACAAAGTGATCAAACCACCTCCTTTGCTTGCAGCTTCTCCCACCTTATACTTGAGAGCTTCACCAGGCTTACCTTCTGCATGTTAAGTCGCACTTCTGAAGTTCTTATGGTTCCGTTAGCAAATCTTAATTTGTCAAGATTAGCAACTGACTCTTCACCAGCATTTGGTTTAATGGAGGGAACTGTCTCTCCTAACAAGAAAGTTTCAGTAAGTTTAGTAGGTTGGGTTTGGTTTTGGTTTCTGGCAGTTTCATAGACTAGCAACTACTAAAAGTCAGATTTAACTAAAACACAATCTCTTTTCCTCCTGTGAGGTACTGGTTAATTGTAACTTTCCTGAACTCACACCAATCGTATCCACTTAAAAATAGAGTTCTCAGTAGAATATATGAATCACATTATTTCCTGTGACAGTTAGTAGGGAATTTATAGGTTTGGCTAAATTCTGCTGTTAATTCCTTAAAAACAACACTTGATGCAAATTCTTCTAAACTATGGAATAAGCTTGTGGCTCCTTACCACCACCTCCTATATTTTCCTTGTCTCCTCACCCCCAAACCTCCCACCCTCTTTTGGACTGTTAAGGGACCAGTCAGTAAGCTTGGCAGTTACACGTGAGCTCTGCATCTTACCTCTAATACTGGAACCCACCTGTTACTGGGTAACAAATCAAACACATCATCTTACCAGCACACTTCATCTCTCGTGTAGCTTTGCATTCAGACTAATAAAAACCTTCCTGCAACTTCAAACTCAAAGGAGCCACAGAAAGACTGATCCAAATAAATGTTTGCACAAAGCCAGAGGCAATAGGCATTGCTAGATCCAAGCTGATTCCGTCAGGAACCATTAGCCTGTGCACTTTGTGCAGAATCAGACTGAAAAAACAGTCTTATTAATCTGGACATTAAGCAATGAGGAAACAGATGACTACTTCTGGACTTCAGCTGCTCTGGCAATATAACTGCCTCTTACAGTGTTTTGTTGTTGTTTGTTTTTTTTTCCAGCTCAGTGACTGTTGCTGAACCAGATTATTTAAAAATACCATTCAGCAGTGATAATGCACATAGAGGGGTAAGACATTACGATTTTTAGTATCTATCTCTTATCATTTGCATAGACAGTCCACCTTATAAATCAACAAGGTGGCAGCAAATTCCACTATAATAAAGTGCCAAATATAAGACAGACTACATTTTGACATAGAAGATGCAGTGCAGGATGTAGAGAAGTCAGTCTTCATATTCAATATTCTGTTTTGCTAGTTTGTGAAAAATCTCAACAATGTTTTTGCCAATAGCATTCACCCAGTTCTAGTTTTAAGAAGATCACCTCACAAAGCAAATGTTAATGACAAGCATTTGCATTGCAAAGAACATGCCTATAAAAAGCGTAAACACTGATTTCTGCCTTTTCTAACAAATAAGAGTCTATGTCTAGCATTCTGAATTTTAATTAGGTAGCAACAACTCTGTGTTGGGCAGAAATGTAATCATAAAGGCAAATGTCTCTAAAAAAGTGAGACAAACTGCAAGACTTACCAGGCTTGCACATCTCTGCAATAGTAAGGGCACAAGCACGACCAAAGACCACCAAATCCAGAAGTGAGTTTGCTCCAAGTCGATTTGCGCCATGGACAGATGCAGAGGCTGCTTCCCCACAAGCATACAGACCAGGTACTACTTTATCCTCACCATTCACATGTGTAATCACCTAACAGTCAATTAATATTCGTTTAATGAATTTAATATTCATTTCTTAAACAGTTTGTAACAGCAAACCTCCTTATTTGCAAAGGCCATGTGCATGTAAGGATGAAACACAGCAATCTAAAGTTTTCTCCAACTCTAAAACCAAAAATACCTTAGTTCTAATGGGTAAGTAGTAATACTACGTAAATACAGATGCTTATATAAATACAGTCATGCTTATGAAACAGAACCATGTACTCTTCATCACAATTCTACAGCAAGTCAGAAAAGCACAGGAAGAAAGTCTGATCTGCACACATTTTTAAGGCAAAATTTTACATTAAAAAAAAATAACAAGTACAATACACTGAAACAGAAAAATTCAGCTGACACCACCACACTGACTTCTAACTAGTATGAGCTGAAGGAATCTGCTTTAGTGTAGAGATTACATGAGGTATAGAGAACTAATATACATTAACTTGAGTTACGGATTGTAAGAGAGCCCTAGTTTGATCCCTGTTCAACTATATATTATCATCAACTTAATAAACAGAAAATTGTTGTCAGACATGACAGTAACTTCATTTTAGATGTTTCTTGGAACTCCCATCTCCAGATGGGCTGGAACGTGGCTCTCAAGCTATTTATAAAAACAAACCAGATTGTGTGTGTTTAGTATTCTGACATCATTATTATAATATTATTATTAAGCTAATGTTATTCAGCATCCTTACATTTATGAAAAACATTGTTAACGCTTTTATATTTGGAAAATAATTTTCTATTATTATGCTGGAAAAAAGAAGTCCTAAAAGTGATCTATTACTTACTTGTCCTTTGTAGTTAGTAGGAATACCTCCCATATTATAGTGCACAGTAGGCAGAACAGGAATGGGCTCTTTAGTGACATCAACTCCAGCAAATATCATAGCTGTTTCTGAAATTCCTGGGAGACGGGTTGCTAGCTGCTGTGGTGGTAAGTGGTGCAACTGCAAGTACACGTGGTCTTTTTCAGGACCACAACCCCTTCCAAAAAAAAAAAAAGTCAACATTGGAACACATAACAGGAATTCTACAAACACCAGTAGTATTTCTAATCCAATTTGTTTCATTTGGGAAAATTTTAACTTTTAATTCTTTCAAAAGTTATCTGATAAAAATGAGTATCTAGCATATTTGAGAAGACTGGCAGAATTTATGTGTAGTTTTCACCTCCCAGCTTTCTTTTCACAATAATTCACAGTATTTAAGTGAATAATTGTGAAAGTGAAGTATTAAACCACTATATTACTGCAGAAATATGTAAGAACTTAAGATAATTAATCAAGAGAACAGAGCACCAAATTATTTCCATTGTTTCCAGTACGAGCATATACATTAAACTTGTTTTGAGCCACTGTCTCTAGACGCACCAAATTCAAACAGGATACTCCTAACATCTTGTATTCCCTTTTAGTATCGCTAGGAATTAACAAGCAAAATTTTTGCCCTACATGCAGTGTTCAGCTAAGAGTTGCTAAAGCTCACTCCCATGGTGTTTATCACATGAATTATTGTACCACATATAGTCTGTTATGATTAAGTATTTATTCCGCAGCTTCATTAGAATATTTAACTAACCTTCCTTCACGGATTTCTATGGTCATAGAACGAGATACTACGTCCCTGGAAGCCAGATCCTTAGCAACAGGTGCATATCTCTCCATAAATCTTTCACCTTGACTGTTAATTAGAATACCTCCCTCTCCACGACACCCTTCTGTTATAAGGCAGCCAGCACCATAGATACCTGTCAAGAAAGAAAATAACTATCAAATGATATATTCTCTCAATAGCTTCATAATCAGGACGACCAGGATTGAATAAACAAGATAGTCTTAAAATAATGCAAACAAGTCACAGGGGTACATTTTATTCCACCCTAATCATACCACTAGTAACTGTCCCCCAAGACTGCTCAGAAACAAGTATTGTTATTCTTTTCAAACACTATTCCTGGAAGGTAAGCAAGTTGATTTGGAACACACATGGTATCTAAAATATTAGAACTAGAAGAGATCTGCACCCAGCAATATGTAAGGAGACTTTCACAAAGATTTTGTAGACCTTCAGCAATTACTTTGTTCAAGATTCTAAGTAAACCAGAAGTTGATTATCTCAAGGCAAGTTTGCTCATCTTTGTTCCCTCTTCTCTGGTGCTAAGGCAGTACAGGATGGCTTCAAATTGTGTGGAATGTGAAAGCTTACTCCGTTTTCTTTTCCTTTAGAGAAGGAAGGCCTACCTGTTAGCCTTCAGTACCGGTCATCATAGAAAACAAAAATGCTAACCAACTCATGCAGTTGATAATTCCACAGCTTATGAGACAAGCAATGAAGATTCTTTGACTAGGAAAACCTTACCTAAGTGAAATGAACATTGGATCTCCATGATATAACAAGGATAACATTGTAAAATTAAGTGAACAATTAAAAAAATCACCACTTATCACAACCTAAAACTCAGCATTTATTTAGCTACAACCAAAAAAGCAGATCTTCACTTTTTAGTCTGTGACCATTGTTGTCCACAGTTTAGATACTGATCCGGTGCTGTAAAACTACAGTCCTAAATATATACCTTTACTTCAACTACCCCACTTCCACAAAAAATTCTAGTATATAACTCCCTAACATTTGCATCCATCCCGTTGCTCCTGTATCTAGCAACAAAACCCTTTAATATTTTTAAAGACAAGAGGAAATGTAACTTTAACAGGTGAAGTGGTTTCAACTTGGAATTCATAAAACCTGTTAATATGGTAAAGACAGCACCTTAAAATATTTAACACTGACCTTTAAATTAGAACAGCTGAGACCTCTCTCTCATATTGTAAGTTTTACTCTCAGATTTATAGATTTATATTCCACAGCAGTTGCAAACAAGTCTGAACACCTGTCACAAGCAACTAATGAAGCGCTACAGAAAAGTGCAAACTGACTTGAGCACATTTTAAAACAACAAAAAGTCTATTTAAATCATTAAAAATAATGTTGTAAGTATTATTTCATATTCTGTACCTGTAGGGTGAAACTGTACAAATTCTAAGTCCTGGCAAGGAAGACCAGCTCGTGTAACCATAGCAGTGCCATCACCCGTACTAGTATGAGCAGATGTACAACTGAAGTAAGTGCGGCCATACCCACTACAGGACACAAAAGTTAACAGAATTAGCAGTCAAAAAAAAAAAAATTAAAAAAAATCACCAGAACATACCACTCAACTATGCTCTTTGCACAATAGTGGAAATAGAGCAGAGGGTTAATAAGCAAGATGCATAAGTTTTGCCATCTCCTGTACGAAGTTCAACCAAAAGAAAACAAAATTGGTATTGCCCTGTTATGCTCAACTATATTTGAAAAACAGCTGGTGACAGAAGGTCCAAGAAAAAGAATAACAATTCCAAAGCAGGATAGTTAGATTAGTATCAGAAGCCTTTTTTCCAGAAAAAAGTTACTTCAGAAAGTTCTCTCAATCCAATACCATTAGACTTCATTCAAACTACTACTAGCAGTTTTATCAAAAATAGCATATAACAATGGTTTATATCCTTGATATGGCCCTGATTTTATATTCTTAGATTTCAAAACTTAGTTGTGCAAAATTAGGTATTAAACGTGAATTCTTAAGCCTAAAACAAATAGGTTAGCTTCCAACGTTACTGAGAAGTGCCAATACTCCCAATTTAGGGAGTAGAAGAAATATCAATCTACATATTGTATGTACCTCAAAATACAAAAGTATGAAAACAGCGTCGACTTCAATAAAGCCAAATTATGTAGGCAACCAAACTAAGTATTTTTCTTCAACAGGTATTGTTTATAAATATTTTACATACTGAAACAGATAGGAGGCAGCCATAAGCAGCAAAAGACTAATGCATATAGTATTCTAATAAACATACAAACTTTTGCAACCAAGTAATGTTAAGTTATACGCATCTTCTGATAATTTCATCCTACAACAGACTTATAATGTTGCTATCTTAATGTAACAGATTCTCCAGAATTTTGAAAAAAGCTGTTTCCTACAGGAAACTCAGAACCCTACAGATACACACACATGCTGGTAGCACTGCAACAATGTCTGCTTTAACCAGCATGTTTTAAAAATCTAAGACCATTTGGACCACGCATACTGCTCTTACACATTCCAACTTTATGTCATTGTTCTAGACTTCAAAGTTAGACCTCGTACTAAATTTACACTTGGTCACAAAATTAGTATGTGCCTTCTTTTAGAGGGAATGACTGAATTCAATTATATTGCTTTTGATCAAAGGAGGCGGGGGGAGATGAACATATAAATTATGTTTTTCAAGTCAGCATGTCATCTCCACACTGTGGATTCAAATACATGTAGAAACACACAGACTTCCAACTAGTAGCACTCTCTACTGCTTCTGTCCTTCATCATAAACCTTACATTACCCAGTGGCAATGACAGTGTTCTTTGCTCTAAAACGATGTATAGTGCCATCTTCTATGCAAAGGGCAATAACACCACGACATTCTCCATTTTCCATAAGTAGGTCCAAGGCAAAATATTCAACAAAGTAGCTTGTATCGTATCTTAGAGACTAGAGGAAAATAAAAAAAAGGAACTTTAAGAATCCGGAAACCTCTCTTCAAAACTGGCAAGGCATATGGGCTGTATCAGGATAAAAACCACCCCCACCAACTCTCAGGGAAGCCGGTTTTCCCACAAATCTTTATAAAAAATTGCTAATGAATCTATTCTAGCTTAAAAAGACACAAGTAGTTACCAAACCACTTAATTCTGAGAAGTCACAGCTAATCAGCAAGGCTTGTTATTCCCCTCTGCATTTGGCAACACTTTAGTCAGCTGTGGTGCCCGATACATGTACAAGCACGTTTTATTTAACCTCTCGCAGAGAAGCAGAATACACGTCCGGGAGCCTAGTATACCAGCAGAAGCAGCGGGCAAGTCAAACATTCTTTCATGCCCTCAAGGATCCCACCAGTGTTTCACAACACCGAGCATTTGTATTGCAGCACCGTATATAGCTAGCAATCAGCTAGCTGCTAAGTAAATAAAAAAACATTAGCTACTAGGTACTTAATTTCAGGTTTCAAGTAGCTTACTACCATTTTAAAACAACCAAATTTTTCTTCAGTTATGGTTTGTAGAATTGATAGAAACAGATGCTGGAACACAAGTCACTTACTTGCATAGAGCAAGCTCAGAAATGCATAGTAGGCCTTCATGCATTTATACCTCGTTTCCCCCTGCTCTCCCTTTGAAGATGAGTGAAAGAAAACGCTGCCTTGTATCTCTTTTCAGAGTTCCCCAATGCTGCTGTGTCAGATTTTTTGAAAAAAGTTTTTTGGGGAAGGTTTACCTAAATTCTCTTTGGGTCTAGTTAACAGACACAGAAGTATTTACAGTGAAGAACTACTCCAAACCACAAAGCTGACAGAGTACACTAATTAACATGTGTTGTCTTCACGAGAGCCATTATAATCACAATCTTTCAATTTATTCTATTTCTGCGTACTCTTGACAAAAACCACGCATCACCTAGGCTACATCCTTCCACACTGTGTCAGGAAGGAAGGAAATGCAGAATTGTTATCAGTTATTCCCCTGGATTCCTCACGGATATGAAAACAGCTACACCTTTTGTTTGTTTTTTCTTCAAACTCTGGGGGCAGGGGGAAATCATTAATTGCAAATACAAAAACGCAAACCAAGTCTACTTCACAGCTGCTTACCCTGCCATACAGAGTATGTAACAGTGAGTGTCCTGTCCTGTCTGCAACACAACAGCACCTGTGAGCCTGTCCTCCTTTTCCAAACTGAAGACTCTGTCCACCAAATGCACGCTGGTAGATTTTTCCTTCTTCAGTTCTGCTGAATGGCATCCCATAATTTTCCAGCTGTTGAACCCAAACACAAGCATCAGAAACTCCTGTGCATAACAATCCAACAAGTTATTTTACTATGTTCCTATCAAGGAGTTCTCTTTGGAAACTAGTCTGTGTTATCAAGTAATTACAGTTGACATCAATTCCAGTGAGTCCCACCTCTATCACAGCAGCTGGGGCTTGCTCGGTCATGTAGTGTATGGCATCCTGGTCACCCAGCCAATCAGACCCTTTCACTGTGTCATAGAAATGCCACCTCCAGTTATCGTCCTCCATGTTTCCCAGAGCAGCATTGATTCCTCCCTGAAAATGAAAATGCGTTTTCCTGGAATTATATTACTGAAGTACAGTTTTAGTAGGTTTTCCTCATTTCTGTTAAAAATCACATACCATTTATGCCTCTGTGTACAAGAAATACAATAAAGTCAGATTTAACGTGGCTATGAAAAACCTGTGCAATTTATCAGTTTCACAATGGCTCTTAATTTGTTCTGTTTTGCGTAACAATGAATTGCAAAGTTACACTGAATGCAGTGAAAAAGCACTGAACAGAATCTAAACATATACTGCCCTCCAAAATAGTTCCAACTAAATACGTAATATTTATAAAAGGAAGCATGGCCTTGAAATGTGATGTTCATGTGCATATCCAAATCATCTTTCTGACAGCAGGTATTTTTTAAACATTTGTTCTACCTCATTTCTCACCTGTGCAGCAACAGTATGAGATCTGGTGGGAAACAGCTTTGTAACACATGCTGTATTAAATCCAGCCTCTGACAAACCAAATGCAGCCCGCAGACCTGCTCCTCCTGCACCCACAACAACTGCATCGAATTCATGGTCCACTACTGGATATTGTGTAGAAATCTGGAAAAATAAATCAGTTTGTTATGATCACAAATATTTCAAGCTAGGTCAAACTTAAGTTTCACGGAGATACAAGCAATATAGGTTTAATGTCCTTAACAGACTCTTGTAGTGAATGCTACATCTGTTATATACTCTCTTGGGTGGAAACTATCATTAAAAAAAGCCATGCATTTCAGCAACTCAGTCTCACTACGTACTTGAACACAACACTCCACTAAAAGCCAAGTACCTGGTTGTTTCATCTGTCCAAGCATTAAGTGTATTATCTAAAATATAAAGATACGTAAGATATAAAGAAGTACAAACATACCGAATCAGAAACCTTCGTAGAAGCATTTTTCTTTCCATAAACTGTGAAGTGTAATTTGCGTGCAAGAGTCTGGCATGCCGCTGGCCACTATGGAAAGAAGTCAAGACAACTATTATAGAACAAATGTTTCCACAAGGAAGACTTTCAGCATTCTCGGCTACCCTACATTAATAACAAACCTTTACTTACCACTGACACCACATATTCAAGAATATTGTATCAATGTATTTTAAAGCTACATGCAATGAAGTTCTGGCTTTTCTACATTCATGCCCAGAAAAAAAAAAAAAAAAGAAAAAAGTTTTGACTGGATGAGAGAACAACCCGCAAGTAACAGGGTGTAACAGACTTACTTACTTCACTAACAGTAACCAGTCTCTCAGACTATCTGAGGCTGCACTGGTAGAAGAATATGTTTGCAATTAATGCTGTGATATTCTTGCACTTTTTTCATAGGTAAACAAAGATGAAGACAGCTTTATGGGAACCACAGGAATTAATGGAAAACATTTCTCGTGTCAAGCAATCCTCAGAATTTGAATTATTTCAGGTGGTCAAGAGTAATGAAGATAGAAAAATTAGGTGGTAGAGAAAGCTGATCCAGCTCATCATTGTTTCAAAAGTAAGAGATATTTCTCTTGTTCTCATTCTCTATTAATTAGTGACCAATTTAGAACCATTTATTAATACCTAAATGAATCTCAAGGGCACAGTTTTCCCCTTCTGTGATGTTATTCCCTCTCCCCTGGCATGTTCAAAACCAAAACAAAACACCACAGCACCCAAACCTACCCAGTATCCAGTTTTTGCTTTGATAGGTTAAAACCATCAGAATTTTAGTCTCCACCATATAAATCTCCCACATCTTGGAACCTGGTATTCCTTCTTTACACCATTCAAAAAAATACACCTAATTCAGCATGTATGATTGATGAGAACAGCAACACAAAGCCATACTAGTGACCTGTGCCGTGACATCAGCACTTCCTTATTTGAAATATATCCTAAAATGCACTGGAGTGATATTTGCCTTTTCCAGCAACTGTTACATTCATGGTTCAATCACCCTATAATATGCTAACAAGGAGGTCTTCCCTCCCTATCATTTCCAAATGTCCATCTCTTCCCCCATCCTTGAAGTGCACTACAGTACACTTTCCTCGACCTTGTTTTATCATTTCTCATACAAGTCTCCTCAAATTATCTTCTTGCATAACAGTGAATCTAATGTGTCATCATATTTGCTAACACACTTCTGGTTTTTACAGCCATCTTTAAATAACATCAGTCTTAACGCCTATTCATAATGACTTCTACTAGCACCCTCCTCCAGGCAGTTAATCTCCCCCATCCACCCTGCTGCGTTACCACGCTTTGGGGCAATTCCATGCCCATCTCAACTCCTGTATTAATTGTCTTCATTAATATTTCACATACAGAATCAGATCAACTAGTTCACTGACAGCCAGATGAAATCTAAGTATCATATGTAATTTATCGGCAAAACAGCCTTCCCAACAGTCACAGGTCAAGCTAAAATGGGGTGTCCTCTCTGTACCAAAACTGCTTTCACAGGCTTCAGTGCAACTGAAGTTAGACTAGCAGAACTCTAACTGACACGGCAGGTTACACTGCACACTTCAAATGCAGCGGCCGTGCATTCTCTAACATATATTACCACTGCTTGTTTCCATAATGTTGTTCCAGCAACGGTACAGCTCTTTTTACGGCAATAAATTATTTCTCGTAGGTGAGCAACAATACATTTGGTTATTGCATAAAGCAATTCAAAGAAAATCTTTACTGTATGTAAAGACAGCACACAACAAACAGGTTTGCACATACTTAGTATTGCTTAAAGAAAGTGCAAATGACTGAGGGGAAAAAACACCAAAAAAACCCCCAAGAGCTATAAACTGCGGTTATGCCTTAAAGCCCCAAAAGAAATTGACCCATTTTTTTTCTCCCCTCAGAGTAAACAGCCTGCTGCAATCTCCAGTCAGAATTCTGCCGCAATGCCTCACAACTGATTTCCTTTTAAAAAAAACTTTGTTGTTTTCTGAAGTTGCTATAAACAGTTATCAAATATATTTTACATCAGAGGAGTCTGGAAATATATTATTAAAAACCAAAACCACACAACCACACAACTGTTTAGCAGATTGCTTTTCTTTTCACATCTACGCTTCCGCAAAACAGAATTTTCAGAACTGCTATTCCCATCCACATATGTTTTTTTTGTAAAAGCTATACATAAGAACTTCTGCTGCCATTAAGTGTTGTTTAGAATGAGCCTGAACAAAAGTCCACAAAGCAGGAAATGATGTTACACTAAATTTGAAGGAAACACTGATCACACTAATCCTGAATTGTTATGCTACCAGGAACATCATGGCCCTTATGAAATTAAAGGTCCAATCAGGGTCAGTTTACTGCTATCTAAAACATAATGACACTCTTTAAGCCCTTCTCCCTCTCAGTAGGTTGTCTTTTCTGTACTTGCTTTATAAGACAGGGACAACTACAGCTGCATTTACAGGGTCCTTTTCCCACGCATTTATCTTTTGTAATCCCAAACTCATTATGGACACACACGGTGAGAACAGCAGAAAGAAGCTGAGAACTCCCACTTCACCACGGAGAAAAACAAGCCTTCACTAAAGACCGCTTACAGATCCGCTAAAACAAAACTGTCAAACGTTGAAGAAGCACTGTCTGGAAACAACTGCTAGCCCGATTTAAGCAACATGCAGATATACACTAGCTTCCCATGCAGATCCAGAAAGAGCCAGCAGTCAGCTTGCTACCCGGGTGCTGGGACTGGAGGGTGCGCCCCCTGCCAGACTCTTCCAGAGCCTTTCCCCAGCACACCCCGTACCCGCTGCCTTCCTCTGTCCCTCAGGAAGCCTCCTCACGGCCTAAGGCTACGGCGCTCCCTCCCTAAGCCAGGAGGAGCGGCCCGGCCATGCCCACACTCAGTTACCTCCCAGTAACGTGCCCCAGGAGCCGAATAGCAAGGACGGCCCCGCTCTGAAAACAGAACCGGAGGGACTGAGCCTGGCGAGTGGGCACTTGGGCGCGCACGGCCCTGGCTGCCCCGCTCCC